AGGACACACTGGCAGGCAGGAAGGCCAGACCTGTAGAAAGACACAGGCCCTCTCTTTAGGACATGCCAGTTTACTCTAAAACACCTTGTTTCCTACAAGACGGTGAAGACCCCTGTTACCTTCAAGGATTGCAAACCGCTTTGTGTTGGAGGTTGGAGATCCTTGTGTGAACCCAGAGCAGACGATATTGGGCCCACAGCTCTGCTTTCCTCAGGAGCAGGGCTTCATTTAGCTTCAACACGCTCAATTTGCTTCCAGCTCCCCACTTAGACTTCCAGATGGATGGCCTAATGAGCCATTCTCATGTATGAAATACCGTTGATCATCAGCATAAGAGCATGAGCTTTAGAGAAAGACATACGTACTTCCTGGGAAGTAAAATTCCTGCCTTGCTCTCACCTGCCCTTCTACTGCTCTTGTATGACCTTGGATAAGCTACTAAACCTTTCTGAGCTTTGGTCTCCATATCTGGGAAGAACAAAACTATGATTACATCATAACAGCTTACACTGAGGAACAAATGACATAACATATATGAAAGTAGTTTGTAAACTGAAGCCCTGGTCACATTGCTTTCTGTGACAAGAGAGTCAAGTGCTCTGGAGCATGGGCTGTGGAGCCACACGGTCTGGATTCAAACCAAGGCTTGACAACTTGTTAGCTCTGTGGCCGTGGGAAACTTGTTTACCATCTCTGAGTTTCATACCTCCATTCATTCATCAGTACTTTTAATGAGCTTTTACTATGTGCCAGGTATTCGAGGGGCTAGGAATAGAGGGGTGAATAACACAGACAAAAATCCTAGCTCTCAGGAAGCTTACATTCCAGGGCAAAGGGTCAAACAATAAACAGTAAACAAATAAGTGAAAAAGATAATTTTTAAAATGATGAGTCCTGTGAAGAAAATTTAATGTGGTAATATGGCAGAATGACCAGGAATAAGGGTTAACTTAGATTTTGGGGCGAGGGAAGGCTTCTTGGAGGAGGTAACATTTAAGCTGATGCCTGAATAACCAAAAGAGAGCTTTTGAGTAGGAAAAAAAAAAAAAAAATACCACCTAATGCAAATACAAAGACCTTAAAGAAGGAAGCACTTGGTCCCTTCCAGGAATAGGGGGAAAGAAGGTCTGTGTGACTGAGGCACAAGGAGCAAAGTGGAGAGTGATGGAAATGTATGACTGGAATTTGGAATTTGGAATTTATTGCAAGCATAATCAGAAGCTTTGGAGGGGAGTGACCTATTCTGATTTATATTTTTTAAAGTCCCCTGTGTGTGGCTAGACGAGTGGGTGTACAGGAAAGTGTGGAACCCAGAAGGAAAGTGATAGTGACTCAGCTTGGAATTCACTATGGAAAGAAGTGAATAAAACAGGAGGCATTTTGCAGGTGGAGGGAAAAAGGAAAAAATCAAGGCTAACTCCCAGGTTTTTACTTTAATCAACTTGGTGGCTGGAGAGGGAAGAAGAGCTTGGGGGCATCATGAAAGCTTTGAAACGCCTATTAGATACCCAACTGGAAATGTCAGGCAGTCGGGCACTCAAGTCTATAGTTCTGAGGAAAGATCCTACACATAGATATAAATGCTCAGCTCATTGGCTCATGGTTCTTCAAGCCATGGCAATGGCTGGAATCAGCTACAAAAGGTCACATAGACAAGAAGAGAAATCCAAGGTCTGAGACTTCAAGGACTCCTACCTTTAAAAGTTATCGAAGAAGGAGGAGATAGCAAAGGTGAAAAGGAGTGGCCAGTGAAGTAGGTGAGAGGGGACAGAATCCAGAAGGCAAAAAAAAGGAGGGGTTTGGGCTTTGAGGGGCACTGGAATGTTTCAACCATAAAGACAAGGCAGCGAATGTGGTACAGGTGCAGGGAAGTGAGTACATTTAGTGATGGGAACATGTGAGCTCCCTTCTCATTGCTTCTATTTTCTCAGTGACTAGGAGTGGAGAAGGATGAAGGTGAAGAGATGAGGGAGTATGTGGTCTGAACAGAGAAGTGCAAAATAGCCATTTCGGAAAGTGGGAGGGAGATTGTTGGACAGTGTGAAAACCTGCTTTAGATCTGTGGCCGTAAGTATAAGGTAAGACCAACAGCCTGGTTGTATGCTTTCCTACAGTCCCATTCCACTGCTCAGATGCAGGCAAGGTGCATCTGAACCAGATGGGCTTAGCTAGAATTAAAGTTTTTCCAGGTGACAAGCCCAGAAAGAGAGCGGGCAAAGGAGTTACCAATGCTTTCAAAGGAGTGATATTAGTGACGGACTTGGATCCATCATGGTAGAATCCAAACTAAGTAAAGAAAGAAGTGAGGACATGAGTCATGATGGAAATATGACAAGAACTGAGGTCAATGGATTGGTGATCTTATTGTGGCCAGAATCCACTGAAGTGGGGCTGTTAGAATACCTAAGCAGGGAATACGCAAGGCGATAAGTGGACTGCTTGGAATTGAGATTTCAGAGGTGATACAATTGTGATACAATGGTGATGTCAAGGTCAAGATTATATGAAGGTTGGATTGGTTAAGGTGGAGAGGAGAAAAAGATCATTGCAAAAGAGTAGATTAAGGAATAGGTCAAGATGTTAGTAGGGTTATCAACCTGGATATTGAAGTAATGGTGACGGAGTAGATATGAAAAGAACGTGAGCCAGGTATTGACAGCTTTAACGAATGCAGAGGGGTGCCTAAGGGGTCAGTAGATAATTGCAATGAAGAGAGATGGGGTGGTAGAATCTAATGACTTGATCTTCAAAGGATTTGAGGTCTTTGAAGGAGAGAGAAGAAAATGATTCAGAAGCAGCAAAGGACAGCAAAGTCTGGAGAATCATGGGCTTCCATCAAGAGGGCTGCAGGAAAACAGTGTTCTAGGAAACATTCAGGTCTCAGGGAAAGAAGATGAAAGAAGCGTTCAGAGAAGAGGTTGAGGGCATAGGGACTCTTGCCAATGACAGAGAATTCCACAAGGCTCAGGATTTTGGAAGGCAATGGGAAACTGGATCAGATTAAGAAATCTCTGAAATATGGGGATAATAATTCCCACCAGAGAGGCTGGTTATGAGGCTTAAATGAGTTAATACATATCAACAATTTTGCACAGTGCCTAGCCCAGAATAAATGCCCTCTGAGCATCAGCCTTAATTATTGTCATCATAATCAATGAGTAACAGGGTCAGGACTTAAACCCAGGTCTTCTCCCTCCAACTCCAGGGGTTTCCACTACCCACACCACCAGTATGGCAGCACAGATGGCTCTGGCACAAAGGACCGCACAGAATCAGCCGTGTGAGTTTCTTTGGGTCTCACCATCCTATGCCTCTCAGTACCTAAAGGAAACAGTGCTGCCTAATAGACGTTGTCCTGACGATTACAATTAAACCAAAGGTCAACAGTGCACCAGTTACTGGCTGACGGCTTGTTTGCTTTTAATCTTCTCTTCTGTGGGGTGGAAGTGAAGCATACCTTAGTATATTTGTCTAGTCTATCTGTACAGGGTGGCAATCTGTTTCAAACTGTACTCATTCGTTTATGTTTAATTGCTTTAAAAAGTTTAGAAGTATAGCTACTCAAGGGTTTACTTGGGCAATGGAAATGGGTATCTCTAGGAAGCCCACTAGCCTCCTGATACTTCTCCTTGACATCTTTTTAAATGGTGTGGAATCTCCTGAATGAGATTTTTCTCAATCAATGCAGCTTGTTCTTTAGGATCTGAGTGTAGCTTGCATTTCAGTGGCATTTTGTGCAAAGCGGGTATTACAGATTACACATCTGCAGACATATATACTTTTCATATGTCTTCACGGGTGGGGGATTACACTTAGCTATGACTGTCAAAATGTTTTCAAGAAAAAACAATTACGAAAATAGTAGTAATTTTTATTTACTGAGTATATCCTGTATTCCACGCACTATGCTAATCCCTTTAGAATACAAAGATCTGTTGAATCCTGAAAATGACCCTAAATAGCAACTCCATTTTTACAAATGAAAAAAGTGGAGTTTGAAGGAGTAAATAACTTATTTAAGGCACAGCCAGTAAGTGGCCAACTCAGGATGCAAACCCAGCTGGGCCTCCTTGGAAAGCCTGAGCTCTTTCCTCTGCCCAGTGAGAGCGGCGGGCCCAGATGGGCCACCTAGGGAGCGCTCAGTCACAGACACAAGTCACTCTCAGAAGCATTGTCTCCCTCCCTCCTCGCAGCAAGCTGGAGAGGTGTCCTGCAGTTAGAGCAGTATTTTTCAAAGTGTGGTTGCTGACGCCATAGCAGCATCACTGAAACTGACTAGGAGGGCAAACTTGTTTCTACTAAATTGCTGGGTGGGGCCCAGCAGTCTGAGTTTTAACAAGCTCTCTGGGTGCTCTGAGAACTCTTGAACTTAGACTTACAGACACAGATAACACCGAGGACAGATGTAAAGGATGGTGGGAGACAAGCCTTCTCAGGGCTCTGACTCACTCTCTGAGGAGTTTCCACTGCAGCCTCCCCTGCATGAGCGACTGTGCGGAACCAGCTCAGCGAGTTTCCTTGGCTCTCACTCTCCTATGCCTCTCCGTACCTAGGGGAGACGGTGCTGCCTAAGAGACACCGTCCTGACGATTACAGTGAAACCCAGTCACACAAACAATGTTCTAGTTACTGGCTGATGGCTGGTTTGCTTTTAATCTTCCCCTCTGTAGGTAAGGAAGGGCGGGGGAGGGGCCCTTCTGAGCTGAGTGGTCCACCCACACCGAGAGCCTGAGCCGCTGAGCCTGGCGGCAGGGCATGCTTATCTGCACCCAACTGAACCAACTAACTCGATTAATTGTCCTGGTCAGAGGCAGCAGCAGCCCAGAAAATTCAATTTGGGTCTAGGAGTGCAGCTGGGAGCCTTGCTTAGAATTGTCCCCTAAAAAATTAAATTGAGTGCTTTTCATTATCAGCCTCCCCTCTGGCCCCATAGCTTCTGCTCTCTGCAGTGACTGAATGAGTTGCACGTAGCCTTCTCTGTCCCCTCTCCTCAGGCTTCCTGGAAAAGGCCAGAGCCTCCTCTCTAAGCTTGGCTGAGGCACCAGGACATGGAGCCAAGGAGGCTGGAGGCCTCCCTGCCGGCCTGGAGTTTTCCCTGGGGTACAGAGCCCAGCAGCCTCTGCAGGGGAGGACTACAGAACAACATCCTCCATAAGCTCCTGTTCAGAGGTGAGAAGGTGGCAAAAGAGTAATCTGCGGGGAGGGGAGCTGAAGAGAGAAAAGTGTGGATGGTAATGGTGGCGCACGTTAATATTCTACGGATGCAAAACATTTCCACATAGCATGTCATTTATTCCTCAAGTTCCACAATACCCTTTCATCTAGATATTATTCTGATGCCCATTTTAGAGATGAGAAAAGTGATGCTCAGAAAGTTCGCTCGATTTGCACAAGTATGCATCGCCAATCAGTGGAGCTGAAATGTAAACTGAGTCCTTTGACTAGAAGTCATTAATCATTAATCATTAATCACAGGTTATGATGTCACTCCATAGGCTCTGTGAACCCCACTTACCCTGCCCTGCTGGGGCTGCTTCTTGGAGGGACTACCCACCCAATCAGGCTTGATTCACAGGTGTGCACAAGGCAGGTAATTTTACAAAGGAAGCATTGTCCCTCTGGGACCCTGAAGACCGGGACCTGATGATGCTTCTAAATTACCTGAGAAAGGGCCCACGGCACATACCTCTGCTGAAGCCTGAACAGGGGACCCAGGTCACTTACCTAGCTGCCACTCAGGGGAGCACATGGTCTGCATCATCCAGATGGGCAGTGTGGGCTCCAGCATGGCCACTCCCATGTTGGCAAAGCAGAGGGAGCCTGGGGAGACAGCTCTGTGAGCCACTGTGGCTGCCCAGACTCGCCCACCCAAAGGGAGGCATTGCCAGCCTACCTGCAGCCACCAGGATATAAGGGTCTTTGAGAAGCGTGAGGAGCGGAGTCCCCTTGGCACTCTGAGAACATGGACAACAAAAAAAAACTTTCATTTGTACTGTGTATACATCTCTCATTTTTTCACAGAATCTGAGAATGTGCAGACAGGACCCCAGGGACCATCCATGTCAGCTCCTTTACTGTAGAGACCAGATACCCAAGTTGAAAGAAAATGACTTGCTCCACGTCATAGATGAGCTGGTGGCGGCATACCTTCTGCATGCAAGGCAGGAACTGCGGCAGTCACAAAGAGTGGGACAACATATTCCAGATGTGATTCCTGCTTTCAAATGACCATCAACCAGATCAGAATGGATTGTTAGCAAGGCCAGCATTGGATAAGTGTCTGGACTCCTGGTCTTGGGCCTCTCCACTAGATCTCACTGATACTAACGTTCACTTTGGGAGAACCACAGGCAGAGAGCTGAATCCCAGAGGTGAGCGTAGAGGTGATAACTCAGAATGCTCCTCAAGCTTTCTGAATTCTTCATTTTGAGCCATATTGGGCTGGTGTAACAGAAGGAGCTTGAACATGCAGATTAAAAGTTCAGCCTAAATGTCAAATTCTAATTTTCCCTTCCCTTCAGAAAATCTTCATTCCAGTCAAACTCAGTCACTGCAGCTTCCTTCCACGCATCCCAGCAGTCCCTCAGCCATCGCTGTTACTTTTGCCTAAACTCCCTTCCTTCTCCTTTCCACAAGTCCAGACCCCACCCATTCCTACCCTAAGTAAGAGCTTAAATGGCTCCTTCTCTTCCACAATGTTCCCTGACTCAGTAGCTGGAACTTCTCCCTCTTTCAAAATTTCTAAGCACTGTGTCCTAATCTGTGGTGTTTACTACCTTCTATTTTGTAATAACTTTAACAGTTTTGATATGATCACCCTCTTGCATACACAGAGGGGTGGATTAAAATATTCAGAGATACTAAAACTAAAAAGATCATGCCCTCTCCCCATATATAATTCAAAGTAAAGAAACAAATCTAAATCATAAAGTATACATAAAGAAGTCCAACAAACCCTTTGACTCAACAATTCCACTTCTAGGAATTTATTCTGAAGATTACCTCGAACATTATGAAATGCATGTACACAAGGTTATTAATCACAGCACTATTTGTAACTGCAAAGTACTGGAAACTACCTAAATGCCCAAACATTGGAGGTTGAATAAAATATGGTACAAACACAATAGTGTAGCATACATCCAGAAAAACAATAATTTTTTGAATGTGTAAAACATTACCATCAAGACTAAATTATTCAAAAAGGTATTAAAAGAAAATCATTTCTCTACTTCTGATACTAAATTTGTGGGCTTTTCACACAAAGCAATCCTCCAGTTCTCTGTGGACCCCAACTGGGTGTCCCTACAATTTAACTCAATTCCACCACTACCTGGAGTTAGCACAGATCCCACAGGTGAAGGGCTCAGTCCCACAAGACTGCCCCTGCTTCAGATGCCAACCTCCAGTAGTGGCTTCCCAGGTTGTCTACACTTCTGTCGGACCTAGCTACAAAATCAAGGTCTTTAGATCAAACTTTCTCATGTTTTCTGCACTTTCTTTCTTTCCTCATGGTTTGATACAGATTTCCCAGAGCTGCCTTTGGCTTGGAGTCAGACAAATACCAACTCTGATATGTAATTCTGATGGAATGACAGTGTATAAGGATGCTTTTGGAGGAGAGGTTGTCTGGATATTCTCTAAGGTCTTCTCTAGCTCTGAGATGTCATAAGTATGAATACTCGGGTCCCACTGTTATCACCTCCTGGTTCTGAGTTGTTATGTGTGTATATATATATATTCCGTAAGGTCTCTGATTTTTCATAAGGCTCTTTCTCCACCTTTGTCCAACATGAAGCCAGAGTCCCTTGCCGTCCCCTACACTACCCTAAATATGACCCTACCTGGGAATCCAAGTATAACCCTCACTTTCCCTGACTCCACCCCTTCACCTTTCTGTTTATGGTTTGACAGAGATGATGTGGGGACGCCTAGGTCACTGCACTTTGCCACTCTGTATACCTCCTGGCAGTGGAGCTTGGCGTCTACTTACCTCAGGAGAGACTTTGGAAGGCTGCAGGATGCAAAGCTGGAGCACTAAGAAAGAAAGGGACAGAGAGTTCAGGTGAGTTGGAGGCTCCAATAGGAGCCACATTGCCATCACCCTCTCACGTACACATCTAACTCCCCGAGTTCCTTCCTTCTTTCCTGGGATGGAGGAGTCCTTGCGCCGTCCATACATGTCAAGACTGACACCACAGCATAATACATTCCCAACCTGACTGGGCCATCACCTGCCTGGTGACCTTCTACGGCAACTTACCTCCATCCAACAGTGCCAGGAAGGCCAGAATGAGGAAGGGTGCAGACTTCCCAACAAACACATACATCACACTTCCGAAGGGAGCTCCCACTGGAAAGGCAAAGCCAGCACAGATTTCAGAGGTGAGAGCTAATTCCTAGCCAGTGAGACTCACCCACTTGCACCCAATGGGTATTTACTGCAGGCCTGCTAGGGCTGAGCTCCAAGTTCTGGGTTCTGGGGATTCAGAGATGAAGAAGCTCTGGTTCCCAGGGGCTCACTTTCTAGGGGAGGAAATGTTCTGTGGGGCGGGCTACCCAAATAATTGGAACATGGTCGAAAGTAAAGTTTAACCGTAAAGGTTCCATCTACAAAGTTCTGTGTGAGCATGACGGAGTGAGTTCAGGTGGCCACAAGCGCTTTGTCAAGTGGATAGTGCTGATGGGGAAGAAGCACATGGGAAGAACACAGATGTTTTAGAAAAGAGAGTGTGGTTGGAGAAGAAATAGACAGTCAGTGTTACTAGAATATGAGCAGCTGGGAGAGGAGAAGTGGAGGTAGGGAAGGTTGAGGCCAAACAGTCAAGAGCCCTGTGTATTCACATAAAGCATCTACTCGGCCCTGTGGGCCAGGGAGAAACATCAGTGCTGCTTAGTAGGGGAGAAACACCACCAGCTCTGGGCATAGGAAGCTTCTTACGGCAGCCCCTTGGAGGGAGGAGGGAATGCGTAAGAGATCAGGCAGGAGGCTGGTGCCGTATTCCAGCTGAGACGCCGTGAGGGACTGACTTGAGGAAGTGGCTGTAGAGGATGGAAGGGGCTCATTCATTTGGGAGTGAGCAATGATGAACGAGGCCAGGACGCACCACAGTTTCAGCTTGGGTGTTTGGGCAGGTGAATACTCACAAAGAGCAGGGTTTTGGTTTTCCCTCCTCCCCATGGTGGTAGAGGGTGGGGTGTGGGACAGGGAAGAGACTTTCGGTGTTTTTCCCCAGTGAGCTTGTAAGCTCTGAGAGGGCAGGAACCGTGTCTGAGGCTTCTTACCCATACCCTCTCTGTGCAGCACTGTGCTGGGCCTGTAATAAGCGCACAGTAAGAGTCTGTGACTGTCAGACTGGTCAATCAAACCCTATAAGGATGAACCTCAAAGAAAGTATAAGCCTGTGTCTTGGAGCTTGGGATTCAAGCCCACAGAATCAGAACCTGCATCCTGGCTCTGCGATTTCCCGACTGTGTGACCCTGAACAGGTATTTAACAATCTTTCTCATCCTCATCTCTGTAATGGGGACAGTCATCCCTCCTTCACAGTGTGGGGTGAGGATTAAAGGAGATTATGTTTGTAACACAGCACAAAATCTGACAAAGAAGCTGCTCTTCTGTTGAAAGCACCGGCCACGTGTGGAAGCAGAGGCGAGGCAGTGGCTGCTGACAGGGGAGATTTACTCCCTTGAATAGACTAGGTTTCTGGACCATTCCCAAGCCATTAGAGGCTATTTAGCTTCTTAAGGGAAAACAGATTTCACCTTTCTTGCGCAAAATTTCAGGACACAAACGCAATTGGACAGAGAACGAAGAAAAATACCATCTTCCAGAACCTCAGGAACACCTGCCTCCTGGAGCTTCTTTGGAGAATCTGCAGTAACCCACCCTTCCGAACCCAGATCCAAGGCAGGTGCCACTCACCCAGCACTCCCAAAGCCAGGCCCCCCAAGGCAATTCCCATGGCACGCCCTCTCTCATAGTCATCAGTGTAGACACTTGCCAGCATCCCAAGACCTGAAAGGAGAGTAACGGGTGGAATTGGCACACGGGGCCTCTCTCTCTGCCTCTCACAGAGTCCTTGGTCTCTGCGCTGTTATATCTTCAGGGATCATTTTAGCCAGAGTTTCAGTTTGAGGGGTTTTACAAAACTTAAGCCATAGCGTTTTACAAACACTGCCCCACTGATCCATTAAACCTCCATGTGGCCCATTCCTTCTCTTCAGAACATTGTTGGGAGTGCTAGAGTTCAGGGAAGGGGGACGCAGAATGCCACTGTCCAACGGTACTGCAGTCCATATCATTTTACCATCTCCTAGCACATTTCCCTGAATGAACGGATATGGAGTAGGCAAGGCAAGGAAAACCTATGAACACAGAGAACTGTTTATTTAATGGGGTGCCCAAGGGGGAGTATGAAAGCACGGTTACCTGGAAGAGAGCATGGGCTGGACTCTCGTGTCTGTTCACTTGTGTATAAAAATGTCTACTTCATAGGGTTACATTCAATATTGTATTTGATAAAATTTTATAAACTGTGATAGTGTTACTGCTAGTATTAACATTACTGTTCTATAAAATGTTAAGAAGGGGACAGAAAGAAGACCACAGAGGGGCATTAAATAAAAGCCTGGCCTATTTCATAGTTTTACTTCCGGCTTGCTCTGACCTGAGCCAGCTGCATCCAGATGTTGTCAGAGGAAGTTACGTCAGGCTTAAGGATTTACAGGCACAGCCATCAACTCTATAATTACCTTGTTTTTGAACCATAATTTCGGCCCACTGGGATATTTTCCTTAAGGTCCTCACATAAATCTTATAGGGTCTGAAGGGAGTAAGAGATGGTAAATGATGTGTGTGTGTGCACATGTGTGTGTGTACACGTGTGCATGTGTGTATAAGATGTCAGCGTTACCTGCCACAGATGAAAATGAAGATCCAACGCCTTGAAGGGTCCGGGCCACAAAGAGCAGGGTGTAGGTACCAGAAAAGGCAAACACTGGGCAAAGAGAAGAGCAAGATGCTTATTAGCAAGTCGCCCTTGTTCGCTGGCACCAGAAAATGGGCCCGAGCTGCGACAGACATGAGCAGTAAGGCATGATCACTGCTCCGTCTCTGGAGCTGTCTTTCTAATCTCCCAACCCTTAATTGGGATTGCATTTTAACTGGCATGAAGACTGAAAAACCAGAGAAGCAGAAACCAATTCACCACTCAGCGGTTGGAAGGCTGGATTTCCAGTTTCCAGCCCCAAAGCCCATCACCATCTCCACTGGAATCAGAGTTGACAACAAGTCTAATGCACAGGCCTGGATGCTGGCACTCACACTCTATTTCTGGATCTTCCGCATGGAATGCCCAGATTTGGCCTTTACCACCGTTGGGCCCCAGGGGGTTATCTGAAGTGTAGGGACAAAAGAAGCTTTGTGTACTTGAAGGACCATAGGCATTGGAGACAAAAGGATATCCTGTGATCCAATCGGAGCTTTCCCCTTACCTTATGTTGGAAGAGCTTTTAGCCAAATCAAATCAGTAAATATTTAGTAATACTGAACATGCCCCTGTGCTAGGCTGTAGCAAATGTGAAAGAAAGAGAACACGGTTCATGCCTTTGAAGAGGTTCAGTTACTAGAGACTAACATGCACGAAACTGAGAACCAAACAGGAATATGTTATCAAAAAACTAAATTATATGGTGTGGCTGGCAAGGTTGTAAGTCCAGACGTGTCTCACCTCTGGTTCCGGGACAGTGCCCCCCAAGGAGACAAGATTCCTCCCATAGTGTGTGAGTCAGCAGAGTTTGAGTGCCTCTGCCCATTCATTACGGATGTCTTTGTTGGTGGATGTCTCGTGATCCTCTTCCATTACCTCCTGACCTGATCACACTGTGTCCAAACACGCACAGGTTTGGTCTCCCCTCGCCGGGCCTCCGATACCCTCTCCCAGGCTTTCTGAGTTCCAGTCTGTTCAAGGTCAGCTATTCCTATGGCCTTCGAAAACAGTGACCAACTCATCCCATTTTGCCCAGGACTGCCCCAGTTTTAAAACCAAAAGTCTGGGAGGCGGGCGTCTCAATCCCAGGCACAGTAGGACTGTTGGTCACCCTATTCAGGAGGATCAAAGCGATTTCTTTTTCACTTTGTACCCCTCACACAGACCACCATTTCGCTCCCAGTTACATTAGGCATGGTTCCCAGCTGGCGACCCTTAGGGCAGTAATGGGCATCAGCAACCTCTTTTTAGTATTTAAAAACCCTAAATGAATGTGACCTAGGATACCCTAAACACCAAACATTTGCTAAAAGTAAGCCACCTCAGTATAGCAACCTGGTTATGGCATGGAAACAATAATTATTATTTAATACATGCAGTTTGGTCAATAAGAAAACCTTTCAAAACATGAGTTTTGGGTGGAGAATCAGGCAGGGACCTCATGCTAAACAGCCAGGGGTCCTCTGGCGGTTACCCTATCTCACAGACATATTGTTTTTCATTTACTGTTCTTGTTCCATCTCCATTCTGTCAGGTACATTTATCTGATGCTGGATAGACTATTTGTCTTTCTCTTTCCTGTTTCTTCGGCAGATTTATTTTCCTAAGCTATAACCTTTAATGTCCTGGCTTGAAGGCAGTAGACCTTTTGGAATTTTCCAGTTGCTATTGTCCAATTTAGATGCTTTGTTAGTTCCCCTTTACCTTTGCACATCAAAATAATATGACCTCTTCCAAAGATGGGAGGTTTATACTAAACTCACTCAAGGATTACTGATAGACACACACACACACATACACACACACAAACACACACTACGGCATATACACTAAAACAGCCTTCCCAATTTTCCCCAGCTGGAGGAAGTGAAGGAGCTGTTCTTCTAGAGCAGAATATACAAATCCCAGCTAGACTGAGCTGCCACTGCTACTCTGGCCCCCACACCACAAACTGCAAAGCATTTAAATCAGTGCCATAGGCCACTTAGATGCCTTATTAGCTAACTTGAGCCTGCTCTCTTCTCTGTAGTACGTGCAATAAAATCAAAGGCAATCAG